GGAGGGAAGCAGGCTACCAGCTACTGATATCCTACCATAGTGTTTACCAAATATTTACCTTGAAAGTAAGGATAACATTATTAGTATACTAGTCATCTGTTTACTGGGGGAAAATACCTGAATTTCAAGGCACTCCAGGTCCATTAAGCACAGATTGAAAATTCGTATCATGTTTCAGATCATCAGGCCTTCTCAGGTCAAGAGCAGCTCGCTGTCAAAGGTCAGTTTTACAATTTTATCCAGTTTTATTCCCACCTGGACTTCACTCCTACATCCTTTAGTGAAAAGTACATTACTTTGAAGTTGAAGGTTGCGTGTTTAGACAGGCAGTACAGCTTACTCCCACCTTGAGTTGGAGCAGATAATGGATTCCATAGAACAGGTGTCAAACTGGCCAAGGTCATCACACAATGAGTCAGTGTAAATATCCGAATTACAGTTGTGGACAAACTCAGCACATGACAGGTTCATTTGACGAATATCTTTTTGTCTAACTGTCACAGTGCTCTGAGAATATGAAACAAATCAAATGAGAAAGTCTGCTCCTGCCTTAGAAGGTTATGTCTTTGCTAATCCTGTAGTGCCCGGCAGCCTAGCATTAGTTGGTGCAAAACACATTGATGTGTTTGGATGATTTTGTTTTTCAGGAGCTATTTGTTCAGGAAAAAAAATGGAAAGAGGAAAGATGAAGTCAGTTTTCTCCTGACATTTCCAAGGATGAATAGTTGTGAAGGACAAGCAGGCAATCTCTCCTTAGAAACAGTCCAAAGAGCCTAGAATGTCCTTCAGCGTGGCAAATAGAAGATCAGATCTTTTCGATGTTTAAGACATTTATTTTTTAAATAAGAAAATCAGAAGACTGTTACTGGGAAAGAATAGGCCCAGTCACAAATATGTTACAAATTCACGTTTTTCACCATTGCACTTAACTTTCAATTTTAGACAATGCCTAACGTTGAAAATCAAATAAATTAATTATGTATGAGGTATTAATGATTAAGGTCAAAGTGGGTTTCAGTTTCTAAGATATTTAAAAATATAATTGATAAAGTGAAAGAATTTTAGAAAAATCCTTGGAGAATAAAAGGTGTACATATTAAATCTAATATAATAATAAATGCTTTGCTCTATGTTAAATCATTATAAAAGTAAATGAGTTATAAATTGAAGTTACTTTCTTATGTTTCAACGTAATGGAGGAACCAACAATTTTTTTTGGTAATTGATCATATTGAGCAAAAACAGAGCCTATCAGAGACTTAAAATATGGTATACATATTAATACTGGTTTATAAAATGTTATCACCATTTCACAAATGAGAATGATAAAATCATGTGACTTGCTTGATCGAGAATTTATTCCACTCCAGTCAGAATAGCTAACATGAAACAACAAATGTTCATAAGGATATGGGGAATAAAGGAATTCTAATATACTATGGGTGGGAATATAAATCAACTGCTCTGGAAATGAGTAGGGAGGTTCTTCAAAGAGCTAAAACTAAAACTACCATTCCTTCTCTATCATCCCTGATTATATACCTGAAAAATCAAAGTAAGCATACAACAGCGATACCTTCCCAGCCAGGGTTATTGCTGCATTAATCACAATCGCCAAGCTATCCAATCAGCCTAGTTGCTCAATAACTGATAAACAGATAAAGAAAATGTAGTACACATACATTATGGAGTTCTATTCAGCCATAAGAAAAAAATGATATTATGTTATTTGTAGAAAAATGGTTGGAACTGGAGATCATTATGTTAGGTGGAGTAAGCCATAAGGTAGATGCAGCAATACAAAACTACATTTTTTTTCTCTCATGTGGGGAGGGGCAGAGAGGGAATGAGATAGAAAAGAGAGCACAAAAGTAGGGAACTACTAGGGAATTGGAAGGGGCTCAAGGGGAGGGAGAAAGGAAGGTGAACGCACAGTAATATGGAGAAGACAAGATCAAAATTTGTATAAATACACAAAATGAAATTATCAATATGGAACCAATTACTTTATATAATTCGTATAAGCTAGGAATAGGTACAACAACAAGAAGAATAACAATAGAAGACCACATCAGGAGGCTGAAGCTTGAGTTCAGGAAAATGAGTCTAAATTCAAGGCCACATCTTTTTTATTGTTGACCCAGTTCTGTTAACTTTGCCACAGTGCTTGTAGCATTCTGAATACCAAAACAGATTTTCAGAACACTGAGTCTGAGAAGGCCTGCTAATCTCTCCTCCCTCCAGGGTCAGTGAGTCATAACTGTATGGGAATGTTTAGCCTCTGTGTCGAATTTGGGCTTTTAGCCTCCTTCTCCCTTTCAGAAGGCACAGATATCCCCCAAATGCGTCTTTGGAGTATCTACTATGTTTCAGACATTGTGCTGACTGTCAGATACAGAGTGAGAGATTTTCTTGCCCATAAGGAGACTTTTATACTGTTTGGGGGAGAAAATCCACAGTCATCACATAACTAAATAAAAATCATCAGGTGTTTTAAAGAAAGTAAAATCATTACTAGCACAGTCAACTTAAGGTGAACTTAGGTTTTTCAGGTAGACTGGTTGGTGAGTTAATTAAGCAGTGAGAGTGTTAAGCAACAATACCAATGCCCAGAAAATTAGCTTGAATGGTTGAAGTAGCAAATAGTGAAAACAACTATGAAATAATATTACATATATATACATATATATATATTATTGTTATGGCCCAGGTGACCTGTCTAGAATTTGAGCTTGGGCCAATAAAATATGGGTATTCAGAAAATATGGCAAAACATTTCTGGGTGAGGGTGAGGATCCACTTCCCTAGGAGAGAAAAATATGGTGGTACTGGTGCAATATCTCCTTCTGTCCCTCAGTTGCCACATGTCCCACAAAAAAGGAAAATAGCTCTAATCTTAGCTAGTTACAAGCCAGCCAGGCCAGGAAAGTCCATGCAGCTCTTTTATTTCCAATTAACTCCCCAAAAGCTGGAAATGGAGCTCTGGCTCAATTGGTAGAATTCCAGCCTTGAGTAGAAAAGCTAATGGACAGTGTCTAGGCCCTGAATTCAAACCCACTATCAGCATAAAGGTGGGGGGTGATGTAACAACTACTATGCATGAAATATTCTTTTAAATATTTCACATCAGTTATTGAACTCATGTATGAAATTACCTCATTAGATACTGTTGCCCACTTTTTATTTGTGAAGAAACTGAGGCAAACATACCTTAACTTCCCTGTGATATGCAGACTAATGCTACTCTGTAAAGATAGCCATGCTCTAAGCACATGAACCTGTGACCTTGTTAACTTAGAAGGTAAGACGAACTTTGTGGATATGATTATATTAACCTGGATTATTTGGGTAGGACCAATATAATTACAAAGATGCATGAAAAAGTAGGAGAAGGAGATAAAAGCAGAAGTTGGAATGATGTGGCTAGGAGCTAAGGAATGCAGGCAGGTCGCTTCTCAAAGCTAGAAAAGGCGAATATATAGGTCTCTTCCTTACAGCTTCCAGAAAGGAATGTCACTTTGATTTTACCCAATTAAAAGTGATTTCAAAACTGTGATATAATAAGATTGTGTTGTTTGTGTTGCCTAAAGTAAGTACACGTATGGTGATTTTTTTTTACAGCAGCAATGGGAAAATAATGCACTGCTCAAGGCCATGGAACATCAAAATAACAGCCAGGATTAAAACTGGTGACAATGTCAGAAATTAAATCACTGTGCCATAGGGCCTGTCACAGGCAGAATAAAATGTTACGTTCCAAATAAGGGCCACATTAGTTTCCCCCTCTTATCCTCATGGACCCCAGAGAATGGTAAAATCCAACCAAACAACAACAAAGCCAGAAAAAGGTGTGTGTGGGGGGGTAGAATCCTATATAAACTGATACATGCTAATTATCATCTTCACTTCTGGACCCAAGACATCATTAATATGATTCTCCCATTTTAGAAAGGCGAACCAAGGTGTTGTGATAATGAAGTGACAGGGCTGCTGGAGAAACTATTAGCTAGTTATACAAGGGACACGTGGTGGCTTGGGGACACCCACAAACCCCAGTGCCTGTGTTGAAATACAGGAAAGAGTCTGTGTGGCAATGAAGGCCAGGATCTAGGCTTCCAGGGCTATTTATAGTTATTATTCTTAGTTTAGGAATAGTAGAAACACACCAATGTAATACTTCGATAGGGAACCCAGCAATCTTGTGATCATTCACACGTTTTATTTTTTTTATATCCGGATTCTTGCTCCCCAGTTCTCTACCACAGTGTTTACAACCTGGGGGGGGGGGGGTCCTTATAAGTACCCATTTAAATAAATTGAAAATGTATTATAACATACCTCACCAGACCTTGAAACGTTAATGTGCATGCTAAAAGTGAGATTCGGAGTTAAATAAATGTCTGGGGCTTGAGACTAGGCATTTCTACCGAGTTCCTATATAATTAGTTGATAATGCTGATGGAAACAGCTGGCTGAAGCTCAGAAAGTTAAGACTTTCTTCTGCACATTCGAAACAGAAGTCACACGAAGTGTGATCATTTTCTCAAAGTTTCCAAAAACAATATAGAAAGAGCGATTTCTCCGTTCAGCCTCTTCGCGCTTTCCCCCCGCCCCTCCCTCCCGCCCCCCAATAAAGGGGAACGAACTAGATACCAGGATTTAATGGGAAGAGCTGGAACCCCCCAACTCCCTGACCTGGGTTGGGCTCTGGGCTCCCTTCCTCCAAAGGAAAGGGGCAGGGGCAAAGGGAGTTAAGTCAGGAAGTTCCCAGGAGCTCCCACGCTAACGCTCCTCTTGATTTTCCAGCTTCTAAGGAGTTATCTTGCCCTTTTGAACCTCCTAAGGTCTCGGGCGAACACAGCGAAGCGCAACGCCGGCCGCGCCCCCTTCTGCGCCCTTGCCCGGGCGGGGAGGAGGCGGACGCGCTTGCGTGCGTGCTCAGTATAAATAAGTCCCAGGCGGCGGCCACCGGGCAGAACGGGCTGTGGAAGCCGCGGGCCATGGCGGAGGAGGACCACCCATGGCAGGGCAGCATTCTCTACAATATGCTGATGAGCGCCAAGCAAATGCACGCTGCGGCTCCCGAGGCGCCCAAGGCGCGGATGGGAGCTCCGTGCTGGGGCTGCGCTTGCGGTGCGGAGCCCCTGGTGGGCAGAGAGGGTCCGCAGATGGGGCGGCCCGTGGCGCTCCTGTACCGCTGCTGCTTCTGCGGTGAGAACCACGCTCGCCAGGGCAGCATCCTCTACAACATGCTCACCAGCGCCAAGCCGACGCACGGGGCTCCCGAGGCACCCAAGGCGCGGATGGGAGCTCCGTGCTGGGGCTGCGCTTGCGGCGCGGAGCCCCAGGTGGGCAGAGAGGGTCCGCAGATGGGGCGGCCCATGGCGCTCCTGTATCGCTGCTGCTTCTGTGGGGAAGAACACCCCAGGCAGGGCAGCATCTTATACAGCCTGCTGACGAGCGCCAAGCAATCGCACGTGGCTCCGGAAGGGTCCGAAGCCGGCACGAGAGGCGCGTGGTGGCAGCTCTCCTACTGCGCGCAGAATCTGAGAGGTAGAGTGGGGCTGCAAGGGGGCCAGGCCATGACGGTCCTGTACCGCAGCTACTTTTGCAGCGAAGACAACTCCCAGCAGGGCAGCAGCAGCAGCGGCAGCGGCAGCGGCAGCGGCGGCGGCGTGCCTGGGAGCTCCAATCAACCACGAGCGGCTCTGGAGTTGCAGCCGGCGCCTGCCTGGTGGGACACCTCCTGTGGCTCGCCGCGGCTGGTGTCTCTCAAGAGTCCACAGGTGGTCTGGGAGGCCGCCGCCGCCGGCCTGTTGAAGACGCTGCGCTTCGTTAAGTATCTGCCATGCTTCCAGGTGCTGCCCCTGGATCAACAGCTGGTGCTGGCACGCAGCTGTTGGGCTCCCCTGCTCATGCTCGAGCTCGCCCAAGATCGCATCCACTTCGAGACCCTGGAGATCTCGGAGCCCAGCGTGCTGCAGAGAATCTTCACCACCAGGGGGCAGGAGACCCAGGGCCAGGAGCCACCGCCCCTGCCCACCGGGCAGCCACGTTCAGCACCGCCACCTGAGATTGTGCAATTGCCCTGGGCCACCACCGTCCAAGCCATGAAGAACTTCCTCGTCAAGTGCTGGAGTCTGAATATCAGTACCAAGGAGTATGCCTACCTCAAGGGCACTATCCTCTTTAACCCAGGTAAGGACGCTGACCTGGTATCAGCTTTTCCCAGGTCAGAACAGTGGGCAAGGTCTGCTCTGGGGCGCGGGGCCCTCAGTTTTCCTGGACAGTGTGTGTGTGTGGGGGGGGAGGGGGATGGTCTTCGCAAATCTCCACTTACTCAGCAGAGCTTGGGGGTGGGTGGGCGGGGATTGGCTCTGGGAACCATTCCTGGTGGGGTGAACTGCCACTAGAAACATCCTGAGGATGAAGGTGGGGATGGGGTGCAGGAGGAGGGGGAGGGAAAGAGTAAAGGTGGGGAAGAACGGGGAGATTCTTGAGGTTTTACTTGTTTGTTTTTTTTTTTAAAACATATTTCTCTTACAGAACTTTCTGCCTTCATGAGATACAGCTGTTCCTGTGCCCCCCTCCTCTAGTTTTCTTTTAAATCGATTAGCATATCCGTAACATTTTTGCAATCCTGCAGTGTCCCTTTCTGAAACTCCATTCTGAAAATTACAGGAACACTTTCCTTGGTACAAATCTATTAAGTTTGGTACGGAAGGAAACAGGTGGTAAGGACTCGTATAGAATATCTCCAGTTTCAAGGATCTGCTTGTGCATGGTCATTGGTATGGTCCTAAGCATCTGGATTCCTCCACCTGCCAGTCCTACATAGTGGCGGGAAGAAGATTTAATAGAGAGGGCAAGCAGGAACACTGAGGTTTTTAATTGGAAGATTCCTTAGGGACTTTCTAATCAACGTAGCACCCTTCCATTTTACAGGGCTCCATCAAGTCCCACGTGATCTTACATAAAAAATGGCTACTGTGCTGTGGCATATATATGTATATACATATATGATATATAAGATATGGGTGTCTCAAATATATATATGTATGCATATGATATATATTACATATTACACACAATATAATATAATATATTATTGCTCTTTGCCCTCAAAAAACCTTTTCGCCAAGATGCTTAAGTATTTCTGTAATGGGAAGAAGTGAAAATGAGTACATTTGAAAGCTATCAAAGTTCTTTATGGTGAACTGTTTACAACAAAGAGATCTTTCTTCCTCCAGATCTGCCAGGCCTGCAGTGCGTGAAGTACATTCAAGGCCTTCAGTGGAGAACTCAGCAGATCCTCAGTGAGCACATCAAGACAACGCAGAGAGACTACCAGGGAAGATACGTCGACCTGAACAGTGCCCTTTACCTGCTGAAATTCATCAATGCCGACGTCATTGTTGAACTGTTCTTCAGGCCCATTATTGGCACAGTCAGCATGGATGATATGATGCTGGAAATGCTCTGTGCAAATTTGTGAGGGCATGTGGAGTTCCACATGTGCATTGTGCTGGGATAGAGAGCAAGCTGTAGGCAAAAGAATGTAGAACGTTGCAAAATTAAACTTACTTGTTATTTTTACATGCATAGTATATTTGTACTTAATACTTTAGTTACTGACAGTTTAAAATCCTCTGTTTCCATACTGTTGGAAAACTTTGCCAACAGTTAACATACCTCTGTACATCTTTAGCAAACTAGCAGGGTACTATGCCAATAAGCTATTTTCATAACCTCTCTCCACTGAACTTGCTCAAATACAATTTGTAATACTAAGTTTTAATAAAATTTAAGATGCTAACCACTAACTTGATTGAAAGAAGTTTCATTGGGGTTTAAGTAAGATTTAAAAAAAGTATTATAAACCTAAACAACATAATCAAAAGTCTGCTGTTCAGTAAATGCCTAGCATTTAATGTTACAAAATGCTAATGTCAGAGAAATGACTAGCTTCTTTGTGATTTCTATCAGCTATATGGAAGACTGTCATCACATCTGCTTGGAACCAAGAAGCAGTCTGTGTACAGAAAGCTTTGTATAGGCAAAATAGATTTTCATGATTTTATTTTGATTTTTGTACACGATTATGGATTTGAACAATAATTCCACAAGAAACCTACATTTTATAAGAAACGATATCACTACAAAACTGTAATTATAACTCAATTTTAGATACACTGTTTCATTTTGTGCTGATCCTGGGGCTCAGGGCCTGGATACTGTCCCTGAGCTTTGTGCTTAACAACTTTACTACTTTGAGCCATAGCTCTACTTCTGGCTTTTTGATGGTTAATTAGAGCTAAGAGTGTCATGGTCTTTCCTTCCAGGGCTGGCTTTGAACCAGAATTCTAAGATTTCAGTCTCCTGAGTAGCTACGATTACAGGCATGAGCCACTGGTACTTGGCCCAAAATACATTGTTGATACGATGGTCACACTGAAATTATAAAGTGACTGTATTCTTGACTTCTTCCACTTTAAATATAATCCACAAAATGGATTCTTCCTTAGCTCTAAAAGATAAAAACATGAAAACTCATACAGGGCCATTTGTATAAATAATACATGATCAAACTGGCTAATGAGTAATATATGCAGGGATGGATTTCCATGGTATAACCCCTTTGAAAAATTAAAAGCTAATTTAAAAAAATGTCTGAGGAAGGTGTGCATTAAGGGGAAGGGGAGGTGAAATGGAGAGAGGAATGTTTGGCAAATACATTCATAATATTTGATGTAAATATGTGGAAATGGAACTAGGAAATTTGAGATGGGTTGAGTTGGGAAGGAGGAGGAGAATGGTGGAAGAGGTGTACAAGGGTAATTGAAACTCCTTTGTATAACTAGGAAAAAAATTTAATATATATAAATTACATGTTTTGTACAACAATTGAAAGACTGCATATGTTACACACATAGTGTGTACTATGTGCGAACACACATGCACATATATGCACATATATACACATGTATGTATACATATAATATTACAGAGTAATGACCCATTGCAAGACATTCTAAACTTCTTTGACCGTTTTTTTGAGTCCTATAGACAACCTCTCAGAATTTGTGTAAGAGTAACAAAGTTAATAAAATACTTAAGATTACAAAGGAAATAAATTATATTAAAGAAAGATAATGTTAAATATATAAAGCATGATCTGTATATATACATAGATGCATATATATACATATTTTATCAACACATGTAGAAAGAAATTATCACCTGACTCGTGTAGCTGTAGCCCCTCTGTACATCGCCTTTAAAAAAAAAGAAGTTATCCACTGATAGGTCTAATATCAATCTTCATTTCAAAACAGTGATTAGTATAATTAAAATTTCAAGGTATCTGCAATATCTACTGTGATAATGAGATTTTAAATGGTAGCTATATTGGGGGATCCCAATATTATAATCCCATTCAGAGATTTACTAGTCTTAGGGAGCTTCGCCTATAGTTGTATTTCAGGACTAAGAGTCATTACAGTGATGCAGAAAGGATACCTGGACCTTAAAAGGAAAGGTCAAGGACAGAATGTGAAGAAGTGGGATTTGTGCAGGCCTCCTTATGCTTTCCCCAGGAGGGTATCACAAAGGCTATATTCTTCCCCCAGGATGAAAACTCAACTAAATTTTTGCCCAGAGAAAGCCTTTGGGATTCAGGGTTTAGAATTTTTATTGAGGCTAGTCACATAGGCATCATCTACCTAGCCTGCCTCAAAATTCCAAGCACATAGAAAGAAAGTAGATGCTCAGCACGAACCACATTGTTTGTACAAACAGTCTAGGTATAGTGAGTCACCCTTATGAGTCAGAGAAGGATGAGAGCACTTCCTAAAATCCACGTTTTCAGACATGAGACAAGGGCCCATCTCATAAGCAGGCGATTTATTGTAAGGCAGCGGGCTCAGACCTACCATGTTAAGTCCTTTCTACCAATGCCCACTTTAGGCCAAGGTGTCTTTGCAGAGTCAGAATTATTGGTAGGACATGATGACGATAACCTGTAGCATGTATCTCATTTATGCTCTTTAGGAATCGTGGGCTTGTTGAAACAAATCCCATTCACCAGAAAGGTCTGTCAGGCAGGCAGGTGGCCTCCTCCAACAAGTTTGATGAAGCTTTTTCAGCTGGCTCTAGCACAACTCTGGCTAGCAAGTTGAGTCTGATCTGGACACCTTTTGTGGCCTTGGTTGTATTATAGAAGGGGCATACACACACACACACGTATGCACACACATATTTACACAAACACACAAACATCACAATTCCAGAGGGCTCATGTCATCTTGGGACAAAGGGCTGAATGTGTTAGGATAGCCTAAGCAGGAGCAGGATATGCTTTGGCCAGGGGGCTCCAATTTGGCCTCCCACTGTGCTACCTCTGACCCCAATGGAAGTAATTCTGTTAAGTCTGTGGTTCCAGAGGGGTTGCCTGAGGCTGTCAGTCCCAAACTATTATGTCAGTTACACTGATTCATCTTCCTGGTGAGTGTGGATGGCGCCTAGATGTATTTGGTGGGAGCCAATGCAGAGTCAGACTGTCATGTGCCATCTAGGCTATGAAGTAGCTCGCGAAATCAATCTGATGAATTTTTCCTTTTGGTTCCAGAAATGCCCCTCTAAATCACTAATGCCCAATTCTCTTCCCAAGCCTCCTTCTGGGCCAAGTTCTTTGCTTATTAACATATCAAGGTGTCCCATTCAGTATTCCTAACTTTACTAATCATTTTGTCATGCAGAATATTTGTCTGCAAAGGTTGTGCACAAGAGAGACAAAGGCATACTTTTTTGCCAAATGATATCTTAGGGCAACTTAGTAAAGACACATCATGTTCGTGAAACCATCAGGGTAAGTTCTTATATATGTATACGTAACTATGTTCCTATATGTATATGTACACATATAAATATATGCACATGCAAATCCACATATATGTGTTAAGATGGGTTGAAACAACCCTCCTCATGCTTTTTTATTCCTGGTCATTTATTCAGTGAGCAGTCTAATCAAGTTTAATTCTATTTGTGCTAGAGACATCTATAGTGAGTGATCAAACTGCCTTACAAGGTGGGTGCAGCAGAATAAAGGCAAGAGAAGTAGAGTCAGGCTATTAGTCTGTTAGTGAAAATGTCAATGAGTCTGGCAAATGGGACCCAAGATAACAGCAGTAGAAAGGAGGCATCCTGTGATGTATCAGAATTGTGCAGAGGGGTCACATTCCCTGGGCTAGCCCCTGTCCCAAACGGAACCATTAGGCAGGAACCATTATTTAAGAATGCAATCCAGCTCTTGTATCAGGAATATAGAATAAGCTATTTCCTTAGGGCATCTAAAATTAATCCAAATTCAAGTCAGCATCTATACTTTTATGACTTTTGATCTTACAGAGGAATATCTTTAATTTTCTGTAGTCTAAAAACCAAGAGCCTGTGCTTACTTCTGGTTCAGCATATCTTTGTTGAAATGGAATCGGCCTACAGTAGACAGGATCAGCTTTTACCTACGAGTGAGGTCCAGGAAATTAGGATCTATGATAAAGCCAGAGTCTTAAGTATATTTGTGTGTCTTTGGCAGGGGTAGGGTGTACCAGGCTTGAACTTCAGGGCTTTATACTTTACAACTTGCTTTCTCAGCCAGCACTGTACCACTTCAGCCACACTTTCTGCCTAGCTTGTTTCCTGAGTACTTTGGATATGGAATCTAGTGGATGGACTTTTTTCTTCCCTGAGCTCACCTTGAACCAAGATTCTAAACTCTCAATTCTTGAGTAGTTAGGATTTCCTGGTGTGAACCACCAGTTTCTAGCAAGAGGCTTTTCTTCAACATGGCAAACTCTATTGATAATAAAGGGCCAGAACCCGAGGTGCCAAGTTCAAGTAACAAGCAAAACTTTCCTTTTTATTTGGTGCAAGTCCTGGGGCTTAAAATCAGGGCTTGGGCACTATTGTGAGCTTTTTGGCACAAGGCTAGCGCTCTACCACTTGAACTACAGCTTCACTTCTGGCTTTTTGGTGCTTAATTAGAGACCAGAGTTTCAGAGACTTTCCTGCCTGAGTTGGCTTCTAACCATGATGCTCAGATCTCAGCCTCCTGAGTAGCTAGGATTAGAGGCGTGAGCCACGGGTGCCTGGGTTCACTGCTATCTTGTCAGCCAGAATTATCCAAATTGACTCACACAAATATATGCACATCAGAATATCATTAGTCCCTAAGGATCAGAAATTTAATTTTACAGGAGCTCATTAGCAGAAACAAGCAAATGACACCCTCACTCTCCCATTTTAAACCTCCAAAATATGTATCTTAATCCAGAGGGACATTGGCTCCCTTTTCCAGAGGCCCCAATAGACAAAAATATAAGGGAAAAAATCAGTTACAGAGCCCTGATTTTACAACCCAAGAGTTTCAATTTCAGTCTCCCCACCTGTGGCAAATAACTGTGTCTCATGAGCCCATTTTTTATTCTTTACCATTTTTCCTGATTGAGACGATTCCTCTAGTATTTATGAAATTATAAGCATATAGCGTTTTACATAAAACTTTATCATGCATCCAGATATCATAGCCACAAATGCACAGTTGTAATGGAAAATTCTCTTTTCTCATTGCAGGTTGACTCAAATCGCCAGCTGTATGCGTGCCATTTACAGGGTTCACGCTACAGCTGGATGAAGACCCAGCTGTAATGGAAGGGAGGGGCAGGGAGGAGCCAGAGCTGTAGCAGCAGTTCAGGTGAAGAAGAAATGGCCTGAGTGGTTTTTGTCCTCTTTGTACCCCTCTTTTCTATCTAATGCCTCACTGCAG